CGCCAGTCATTTCTCTTCTGTGCTAACTGACGCCAATTGGAAATGCCAAGTGAAGCCAAGTCCTTCTCCACCTGGTCTTTCCAACGCAGAGGAGGCCTTCCTCTTCCTCTGTTACCAGCATCGCGGCCCGCGTTGAATATTTTCATAGCAGGAGCGTTTCTGTACATTCGAACGACATGGCCAAGCCAGCGGAGCCGCTGAATTTTAATTCGCTCCACTATGTCTATATCGTTGCAAAACTCATACAGCTCATCGTTAAATCATCTGCGATATTCGCCATCACCAACGCGTACAGGTCCGTGCATATTTACATGTTTATATAATAGTGGTTATTTAACATTCAATGTTTTCAATAAATTCATATGCTTTTAATGGAATTCAGTAATGTAACGATATGAAAACAAAAGTATACATATAAAGAAAAAAATTATAAACTCTGAATATTTATGCGGCGCGCCAACATTCCGGCCACGTTGAACGATGTAGCATCTTTAACATCTTCAAATATTTGGAAGGGCGCCCAACTTGTGAATTGCTCTTCGGTATATACCGGTTTTAGTTTCGATGTCGGCTACTCTTATTTTGCCATCTTGGCCTGGAGTTACTGCCACTATTCTTCCCACCATCCACTGTTGAGGTGGCAAGTTGTCGTCATGCACCACCACTAATTGTCCAATTTCGACGTTTGGTTTTGAACATTCCCACTTGCTTCGGGGTTGAAGACTGAGAACATAATCCTTCGACCAACGTTGCCATAACCTCTGCCTGTGAGCGCACCACAGTTGCGATCGTTTTAAATACGTTAGCCTGGTGTCGGGCACGTCAGGCGTAGATTCTGGCGGAAGCGAAATAAGAGGAGCGCGCATTAGCAAATGTCCTGGAGTTAGTGCCTTCCCGTCGTTTGGATCCTGGCTTGCCGGTTCAACTGGACGTGAATTTAGTAAGGCTTTCTACGGCGGTTACAACCGTGTTCATCTCCTCGACTGTCACTGGCACGTTGCCGACGACCCGTATAAGGTGGTGCTTGGCGCTTTTCACTGCTGCCTCCCATAGGCCGCCGAAGTGGGGAGCTCTTGGTGGTATGAAAACGAAGTCTATTTTTTTTCCGCAGCGAATAGTTGCAGTTGACCTTTCTGGGAGTTGAACCCGTCTTGGAGATAGCGAAGTGTCTTCTCGGCGCCGACAAAATTTGTCGCGTTGTCGCAGTAAATCTTTTCGGGACGGCCTTAGCCGCTTAGATCGCTCACCAGTTCAAGGTGAACCGCTTTCGATGCAAAACAAACGAACACCGCAATATACATTTTTGCTGGAGGTCGCCCTCGAATTTTGGAAGTTACTAGTACTGGCCCGCAAAAATCAACACCAGTCACAAGGAAGGGTCGAATACCTCTTAGACGATCAGTTGCTAAATTCCCCATTATTTGGTTAATTAGTTTTGGCTTATAGCGGAAACAATGAACGCAGTTATTCACCACCTTAATACATACCTCCCGAGCATTTATTAGCCATATGTCTTGCCTCATTAGCGCTATAAGTGCCTTTGTGCCTGCCTGGCAATTCGTGAGATGAAGGTACCTCAAGTACATTAGAACGAAGTCATTGTTTTTTGACATCAATAAGGGAAATTTGGCGTCTATCGGTATAGGATCATTTGACAATCTGCCTCCTACCGTAGTATAAATACAAATATTCTAAGCACTGTAGAGTACGAAGAGTGGTTAGAAATGCATTAAAGAAGAACGTTTTCGGGTGCATTTGATGCAGTTAAGGTAATGGAATTTTTCTTTAGCTCTAATATTTGTTGTTCGGGGGTAAGATCCAAATGCGGATTTCTTGGCCAGACGGATTCTGGTTGACACAAAAATTCCGGGCCTTCAAACCAAATTGATTGTTTTAGTTCATTCACACTGGAGCCTCTGGAGTCAAGGTCGGACGGGTTTTTTCTTTGAAGACATATGAGCCCATTGGACACCCGAACACAACTGCTGCAATTCTGATACCCGATTTGCTACAAAAGTGTTTAAAGTAGATGGATGTTTTTTCATCCAATATAAAACAATTTCGAAATAAGTCCAAAAGAGGATACTTTCCACTGGGAAATCTAGCAAACGACTTACTGTATGCCATAGCTTTGCCAAGAGGTGTGCAGCACATAACTCGAGCCTGGGAAGGGATTGGACTTTTAGCGGAGCAATAGACGACAATGCAGACCATTTTCATCGTGAGTTCGGATATAAATACAACATCCATACGCTTTTATAGAGGCGTCGGAAAACCCGTGGATTTGGCAGCTGGCGTTGGGATGAGATTAACAAAACGAGGAATAGTTATAGAATTTATTAATGCTAAGTTCTGTTTGAAGGCTCGCCAACTGGTATGAAGAGCTTCTGGTATGGATTCGTCCCAGTCAAGTTTTTGTAACCATATTTCTTGTAAAAGAATTTTGGCCTTTGTCACTACTGGGCTGTCACGGGCGGATACTGAGAGAATATTTCTTTTCGTGGCCTTCAAATTTTCGAAATTTTCATCTAAATGAAAATGAAAGTTATCAGCTTGAGGAAGCCAAGTCATACCCGGCGTAGAGTGGTTAGAGACCCATTTCGCCAGTCGAAACCCCGCAGATTCTAAGATTTTAGTTACTTCTTGTGCCATCTGCTGTAGGTCTTTTACGGTATTGGCACCAGAGAGCATGTCATCGACGTAGAAATCTCGACGAATCACTTCAGCTCCATTCGGATATGATTCCTTTAATTTATCGCTTAAATGGACTAATGACCGTATTGCCAGGAATGGCGCGGGCGAAGTTCTATACGTGACAATGTTCAGCTTATATATTAGTAAGGGCTCGAACGGATTTTCTCTCCATAATATCAACTGGAAGTTTCTGTCGGCCTCGTCAATCATGATTTGACGGTAGATTTTAGTTATGTCAGCCGTGATCGCGAATTTTCTTAATCGAAACCGAAGCAGTATTGAGAATAAATCTTCTTGAATTGTTTGCCCCACCATAAGAACGTCATTTAATAATACCTCCGATGTTGTTCTGGAAGATGCATCAAAAACAACGCGTAGTTTGATTGTAGTGCTTTCAGGTCTTAATACACACTGATGGGGTATGAAATAATGGAGTCTTTTTGGTATTTTATTCTCAATGGCAGACATATGGCCTAGGCTGAGATATTCTTTCATGAAATCTGAATAAAGCCCTTGCATTTGCGGATCCGTTTGTAACTTGCGCTCTAAAGAAAAGAACCGTCTTTTGGCAGTTTCAAACGATTGACCCAAAACATGATGGATCTCTTTTGAATGGAAGAGAGACCCCAAATCTGCCAGATGACAATTGATGAATGGAGTTTTTAAACTTTTATTCGCAAGCTAAATGGCCAGCCGACATTGTTGATTTAGGTTTTGGCACATCTTCCAGCTCCCAAAATTTTTGAAGGGAATCTATGGGAGGTGCATATTCTGCAAAATTCGCCGAAGCACTCAAAAATGTTGTTGAGCATTCCTGTAGTTTATATTTACCAGAAATTATCCACCCTAGCAACGTATTTTGAATAACTGGACAATTTTATCCTATTTTGATTTGGCCAACGCATAGAATGTTAACGAGGCTCTCAGTCCCGCTCTACCTTTTGAGGCTTATAATAGAGAGGATCAGCTTACTTTATATTTTTTGGAATATTATATTCATTTGTGGAGATCGGGCGATCAGGTTGGTAGGACGAAATCAACCGCATGGTCCAGAAGTCGGACGTTATGTGAATTAATACGCAAAAGAATTGTGGCAGACAGTTTTTGTTTTACCGTCTGGTTTGCCTGTCCTAACAACAGAGCTCGAACCGTAAGATATTCACCGGATATACTTTTAGTTTTTACAATCGCGGTGGCCAACATGACTTGGTCTTTACAAGCCGACGAATAATTTACAAAGGCCTGAGGCGTCGATGACTGATCATCGTGTTGATTGGTATTGTTGCTAGGTTGGGTTTGTGTCGATCCATATTGATGCAAAAGTAGATGATGCTTTTTGTTGCATACACGACATTTACTTGCATTACACCTCGACACCGTATGCCCTCTTTTAAAACAGTTTATGCAGAGAGATTTTTGGCAAACTCAAATCTTTAACCCTTTCGACCAGATGGTACATATATGTACCACCAAAGTTTAAACATCCCTAAAACATGTAATTTACATTTAATCACATTTGGAAATGTACCACGCCGTATGTTAGGAATTTCACCATCTGCCTGCACTCTACACATTCAGTTTTGCATCTCCTGTTATGCCCAGTTTCGTTTTATTTCTGGGGAGAGGGCCTCCCGTTAACGTTTTTGTACAGATTTCCTTGCGTTTGTGAAGATTTCTTAGTTTATTTAAATATATTATGGGAAAAAAAGCTGTTTCTAATTATTGCCTGTAAATACGGTGATAAAATTTTATTATAAACCTCTTTTTCANAAATTATGAAAAAACTTTGAAAAAAGGCAAAAAATGCAAGTGCCATGTCCAAACTAAATACTATTTTATCGTCAAATTATGGGAGGTGTTGATTTAGTAAATCAAATGAGTGGCCTGCACGAATATGATCGAAAATCAGAAAAATAGTGGAACAAGGTCTTTTACCGTTTTATAGTGATGGCAGCCGTAAGCGCGTGGGTTATTTACAGTTAGCTAAGGAGGAATAAAATGCCTTTCAAATCATTTTTGGTGACCTTGGCCGAAACTCTGATAGAACAAAGTTCTAAAACTACAGCCTTACGCAGGTCAGTAGCACCAGGCCTAGCACGTCGTGTCGTGAGTCAGAT